CAGTCTTAATAATTACCTAATTCATTTTTTCTATTTATTTCCAATATGGGGAGTGTGGTCTGGTAGTGACATCTAACACTTTGAAATGAACCTTAGTTAAGTATCGCACATTAACAGGAATATTTCAGTTCTCTTTTAAATGGCTCTATCATCTACAAACACAGGCAGATTAATTTTCTAATCAGAACACTCTAGGAAACTATTAACCATGACATTAAACTGTGTTATACTAATTACATTCCCTATGAAGAATTTCTGTCTGAACTTACAGCATAAGACCCTGGAGAAAACTTATCAGAGCACATATTTCTTCACTGTATTTTAAAAAGAATCACATATGAATATAATAATTTTGCTTTTCATGTGTAACTTAAGTCAACTCTATTCTCTATACTGACTGATTACAGTGGCAAGATATTTTTGACCTTGTTAAACAAAATTTTCACAGCCACGTGGTGATAGACAGATTAATAGAAATGGGTTAAATTAAGGTGTAAGAGCTAGCAAATAAGAAGCTAAAGCTAATGGGTCAAGCAGTGATTTAAATAATATAGTTTCTGTGTGGTTATTTCAGAGCTGAACAGCCGAGAACAAACAAGCAGCCTCCTACTACACGCCACCACAGTGTGGCTCACTTTTCTGAGATTAATCAAGTTGTTGTCCAAAATGGTTGCTCTAGTTTTATACTTCTCCCATCTATGGAATTCACATAGGCTATATCTTATGTGAAAACGTGATGGCTTTGTTCTTTGTTATATTTTCTAGTTTGGTGTGAGTACAGTGCTAATTTGGTCATTAATACTATTGCTTTTAATCAATTCATTTGATATAGGAATTCCTTATCTCAACTTTCTGTTATAGTCATTCAGAGTGACCACTTAAAAGAATGGTAATGGTAACTATCTGGATACTGAGGCATTTTAGAAATAATAAAATAATATTTTTAGAAATCCCAAGATTTTCCATGATTGCCTTTTCTCTCCTTCATCTTTGTGTTGCCCTGCACACTAATGCAGAACAGGGTCATGTTTCTGCAACTGGTTCAGCAGCGTGGAAGACCGGTCTGTTGTTTGTTCTGAATGAGAAGAAGGGAATGTGGCTTTCAGCTTTAAAAGATACTTAAGAGTTTTACAAACATTATTTCCAATGGCATGTTGCAGTTGCAATAAATTTCTGTGGAAAAATCCAGAGTGTTCTTTAAAAACCAGAAACTCAACCTTCTGTTTATTGGCATTTAGAATCTTTTAGGTGCCAAGTGCATGAGAAAGAGATCAACAACTCTTGACATGTTGACACTTGGAAGTAGGTCTAATGCTTTTAGAAACTGATCTGACACTCAAAGCCAGGTCATGTTGCTGCTTTTCTGCTGGACAACACCTTGTGAAACACCAGTGCCAGACAAGGGCACTCTGTGACCATGATGAAATGAGTCAAAACAAAATTACTTAACTTTTCTAAGCACATTTAAAAAAAAAAGGTTAGTGTGCAATATGCCCATATCTAATAAATTCACGGGTAGTCATTATAGACTAAGCTTCAATTTAAGCTCAGCTCTGAAAAACAGGCTCTAGAAGACCATCCCAAACCAGAGTGGAGTCACTCTCTTACTGCTGTATGTTCAAACTAACCTATGAAGGGGGGTAGTTTCCCCTTGTTGTAGTTCATTTTCTTGTTGTGGCAATGAACTTTGACAAAATCAACCAGAAGAGGCCTTAGAGCCTGTGCTGGAACTAGCTCTTGTAGACCAGGCTGTCCTTGAACTCATGGAGACCCACCTGCTTCCACTTCTGCCTCCTGAGTGCTAGGATTAAAGGCGTGTGCCATCACTGCCCAGCTTCAACCAACCAACAAGAAGATGAAAGGGTTTATCTTAACACAGAGCTGGAGTGTAAATAATGGCAGGGAAGATACAGCTGCAAGGACGTGGGTGGCTCCTCCCAGTGCTCCTGTGCTCAGGAAGCACAAAGAGATAAACACTGGCAATCAACTTGCTTTCTTCTTATTATTCAGTGCAACCCCTAGGCCCATGGAAAGATGCTGCTTCGACATCATTAAACCCAGTCTAGAGAATCTCTTGCAGGTATGATCACGGCAATCAACATTAACCATCACCTACCCTCAGGAGATTCCTTGCAGTCAGGCAGCTTGAACCTAGTTTCTCTGAGCTGGCCTGCTGAGCAAATTCTACCTATTATAAGTGGCTGTGACGTGACCTTTTCACTCTTTGTTTCTTCTTTCATTATTAGCCCTGTCCTGCTGATGGAGCCACACTCTTTGCTTAGCTCAGTAGACCAGTCATTGTGATTTATAGGATGATGTGTACTTTTCTACAACCGAAAGCAGAATACAATTATTTTTTTAAAGCTAAATTAGTTTGAATTTTGTCTTTTGACATCATATACTGTTCACTCTTTGAGTATCTGCCACAGAGTCGGTCATAGCTCCACCATGCTGTGCTACTAGAAAACATCAAGACGTCGAGTCATTAAACTACCCAAACTTCCTGACAGTATGCAACCCAGGCCAGTCCTCCTAACAATGTTCTATGAAGTTCCCCCAAACCACCCAAGCAAAATGCAAATCTTTCAGGAGCTTTATAATACTTCCAAAAGTTCCCTGTGGTTCACCATTGTGATTGTTCTTATCCTCTGTAATAACTCTAAGTTGTCCTAGCTACAGATGTTTCCCCTGGCGCTCTCTGGCTGCAGGACACCCATATACAGCTCTTTCTGCTGTCCATATATTGTCTCTTTGAACCTGCAGCATTCCTTTTTGAAGTATTTGCTGATGGAGAAGCAAAGAAAGTTAAATACCATCTTCACCACCATACAGTTGATAAATAATAAGAATTAAACCTGCATCTATGTTGGTTATCACGACACAGAGAAAGCAACTTCTCTTGGAAGCTGACTTAAGTAGCATATGCTCATTGAGGACAAAAAACATCTGGTCATGTGACATAATAAAAACTAGCATGAAAACAAGAAAAGTAACAAACACTATCTGCATGGCAAAAACAAAACAAAACAAAACAAAACAAAACTTAAACCTCCAAAAGCTGTAGATGAAAACTTACTCGGACCTTAGGCTCATGTTTCTGAACCCCTGTGTTAATCTCTGTGGAATACCTACGATTGTTTCTTGTAGCGAAATCAATACTTCATGTTTACCTGTCTTGGCTCACATCACCTCTGTATGGGCAGGAGATCAATATCTTTAAGGAAATAGTTCGAAGGCAAAGATGACTTTTAAAGGCGAAGAAACAGTGATGTATGAGAAAACTGCATTAGTCACGAAATCTGACCTTCAGCGTACACAGGAAATTCTTCTACATGGTTTCGCTTCAAGGACCTTCAATATATGCCCGAAACATTTCTCCTACTCTGTGTTCTTGACCTTCTTGGCTTTGCTGCCTGCTCTGCCCCCTATGTGAATGCCCTGCCATTCTTCTGCCCGAGAAAATCCATGTGTCCTTTCTGTTGTAACCACCCTGCCTCTCTTCTATTCAATAATGGAATTGAATCTTGGTGCCAGCCAGAGGAGAAACTTGTCTCCTCGGAAGAGATGTGACATTTCTGACAGTTTGTTGCACACACGGGAGCCATGGCAATGAGCATGTGTTGGATCATAGGGTGACCAGAGCTGCTTGGTTATGTATACCCCTTGATCATTGTTTAAATAAAAACCTCATTATCAGTGTTCCAAAGATGGACTTGGGGGGAAGGGGTTCCTGGATCTTTTTATTTGTTCCCCTTCCCAGTGTGGCCACACTGAATGGATCTCCAGTTTTCTTTTCTTTACTTGTCATATTGGGGACAGGTGCCTGAGTCTACCTTGATAAGGATGTTTAAGCCCAGATTCTGACCCTAACACTATTGCTTTCCTGTTCTTTATATTTAAGATTTCCCCTTGTTCTTGTAAAAGCTGTTACAACTTTTGCATTGGTTATTTGTGTAAATTTCTGTGAACGACATTAAACTGTTAACTGTTTGGACTGTGTTTGATTATTTATTTATTTATTTTTAAATTTTTGGTTGACCCAGGGTAGGCGTCCTCTACGTGCTCAATAAAGTGACCTAAGTTCCAGAAAAAGCCACACCTGCGTTAACAGTTCTACAAGGTTGTTTGACTGATGAGAATTCCCGGATTTGTGGCCAGCTGGAATGCTGCAAATCCAGGACCATATAATCTTGGCTCTCCCTTGATCTAACACAGTGACGATCACTTGATAACTTTTGCTCTTCCTTAAAGGCTCACTAGCTTGCACCATCCTCAACCTCAAACCAAAGATAGCATTTGAAGGCTTTTTTTTTCTTTGTAACCCGCTTACCTAATGTGTTTGAAAAGTTCCTTGATGACTTTTTTTTTTTTTTTTTTTTTAACCGTGCTTAAATTACCGAAAACAAAACTTGACGAAAACTGTTACTACTTTGGAATGTGGTATTTGGGGCCACCTGAGTTTAAGTTACTGGGCTAAGGCCATGCATTCTGGGTTCCAGCGTGAACTCTCGTATTCCCCTTGAGGTGACAGTTCTGTTTTTTCTACGAACGGTAATCAAGTCTAGAGTCGTGGGCGCTGGCGAGTACAGCCCAGAACTACTTCTCCCAGGCACCCGAGACCTCTAAAGACCAGTCACAGGGCTTACCCGTTGATTTCACATTCAGCGCTGCTCAAACAGTACCGGAAGAGTCGCCCGGCCATTCAGTTTTCAAGAACCTACTCTCAGAGGGCAAGCAAAGCCCTGCCAGCGACTCTCGTTAGCTGCACAGTCTTTCCAAAACCCGTCTCCTCACAGTCTACCTCCCGGGCGTGCCGCCTGCACTGACAGAGGGCGGGGAGCGCAATGGACAGGCCGAAGGGCCAATCGAACCCAGGCTTTGGCATACCCGGAAGGGGCGGAGCGCGCATCGCCGGCTCCGCGGCGCGGGATTGGCTGAGCGGGCTGCCTGCGGTGGCGGGAGATTTCGGATGTGTTGGCTGGTCCCAGAGCAGCGGTTGATTACTGCGTGGGATCCGGAAGGTGCGCCCGCGGAGCAAGGCCCCAGGTCTGGTCAGATCGCGACCCGGGAAGATGGAGGGGTACCGGGCGCGCGCTCCTGGCCGGGACAGCAAGGCGCCGCGTAGGAAGGGCCTGTCGCCCGCGCGGCCCGCAACCTACTACGAGCCCGGGGAGAAGCGCCCCAAGTTGGTAAGTGTGGGCCAGAGCTATGGGGTGCGGCGATTCCCGGGGCCTTCAGCTCCCTGCGGCCCAGGCTGACAACCACTGCAGGCGGGAGCTAGATTTATTTCAGAAGGCCAGAGCTGCTAATCGGCTTAGATCCACGGAGACAGGGCGGGATTCGATCCCCATCCGGAACCAAGGCCTCGCTCTCTCTGAAGCCTCGCATTTCTTAGGGCTGATCAGAAAAACGTTCAAATGTCTCTGTACTGACGTCATCCAGACGGATTCTGTACTTTTAAACAAGTTGAAATTCCACCCCACCCTTTTAGTATAACTGACTATAAGACTGAAAGTGAACTTTTAGCTAATAGTACCTCCCCGCCCCCGACTCCTGTATCTTAATCCAACAAGAACTTTTGAAGGTTTATATATTTTTTCAAGTTGAGGCAACTGGTTTTCAAACTTGGCGGGATGTGTAGTCACTGCTAAAGAATGTCTTGTTTAGTTTGGAAGGAGTCTTCAAGTATCTGAAACTCGTTAATCGGGTTGGCTTTGCGCTCTTCTTTCTAATTTTTTTTTTAATTTAAGAAATAACACAAATGATATGTAAGTTTATAAGTGGAAGCATTTTATTGACATTGAGGTTGACAGTTAAGTAGGACTGGCTACTTCTTCCACGGTTTTATATATAGCTTATGAATGACAGCTTTACTTCTGTCCAAACCATTTTCTTTGGGTGTGAGAAGGTAGAGTTGAGCTAAGTAAGAACCTAATAAAGCTTTACACAATGGGGGAAAGGTTAAATTTCATAGCGACATCATGATGTAACCCTGCATTGTACGAGAGTACACAATTTCTTTACTATTCTCCCAAAGTAGATCTTCACAACAACCTTTTGTGTGGTCAGAAAAGAAGCCCGCCTTACAGAGGTGCATGTAAAACTTGGTCACTGTCGGGGTCATGTAGACTTTGGGTAAAGGAGCCACGATGTGACAGTTTTCTGTGGTCTATGTTCAGTTGGTTTCTGAATTCTAGGAGAATCATAATTATATCTGAGGTGAACTTTGTGTTCTTACTGTGTAAGGGAAGAGCCACGGTAAGGTTTTTATTCATGTCAGCTGGAAGAAATATTGGTAAAGAGGATGATTTCATCTGGTGTGTCTGTGTGGGTTGGTATATTTTGGTGTAGTCTAACAGAATGGGAGATTTTTTACTGTCTGTTAGTTTTACTTACAAGTATGGGGCAGTTCTTTTTTTGTTGTTGTTTGGCTTTTTTTTTTTTTTTGGTTTGTTTGCTATAGTAACATTTGTCTTTTCTGGATAAATAAAATTTGAAAAATTTAAGCCATGACTCACAAATTAGGGATATAATAGATTGCGACTCACTTGCTAAGTATAGTATTACTTGCAGTTGAATACAAGTGAGGGCAGAGATAAGGGGCATCAGAATACCGAGATTCTGCTGCCTTGTGCAACTGTGGGACTGCTTATACAGAAGTGGGCCTCACCATAAGAAGAGGGGATAAGTTGTGGCAAGGTTAGGGATGTGCTTCATTACTCTTCTTTGCTCAGGTCTTAGACTGAGTTGGAGGGAGTTAATTTGATCCTAAAAGATTCTGTCCACTCTGAGAAGAATCCATGGGGTGATGAATCTCTTTTTATAATTTACTTTCTGGACTAATATCACTATATCTTGTCTGGACTCCAATGGTCCATGATTTAGGAAGTGTGATTTTCCATAGTTTATAGCATGGCAATCCTGAATAAATATTTCTTAGTTATGCCATATTGGCCATACCATTTGTTAAAAGTCATGCAAAGGTGAAATGAAATCTGAAACACAACGTATTGAAGGTCTGGTCTTGCAGCTAATTTAGGACCCCCTTTTTTTTTTTTTTCCTGTTCAGTGGTCTCACTTCAGCTTTCTGTCTTTGCCAAAGGCCCAGTGCCCAGTCTCATCTGCCTTCCGAGCAGATCTTTCGGCCTGCCTGCCTCCCTGCCTTGATATTCCATAGGGGAGCTCTTGTTTTGGGATGGAGTGTGATCTCTGAGACCATCCTTGATGCTGGCTGTCAAGTCAATTCTTTGCCTTTTCTTGGTTGAGATGAAGCGATATTAACTTGATTTCTCCGGGCCACTCTTATTTTCTGAGTTTTTAAAATAAGTAATGTAGTTTTGCCATTTGGTGGGGACAGGGACGATTTAGTTGTTCATCCCCCCCCCCCCCACTTTTTTAAAGGGACAAGCTGATGGTAGACTCATTGTAAACTGGTTGGTGGTTCTTCTTCTTCTTCTTTTTTTTTTTTTTTTTGGTTTTTCAAGACAGGGTTTCTCTGTGGTTTTGGAGCCTGTCCTGGAACTAGCTCTTGTAGATCAGGCTGGTCTCGAACTCACATAGATCCGCCTGCCTCTGCCTCCCAAGTGCTGGGATTAAAGGCGTGTGCCACCACCACCCGGCTGGTGGTTCTTCTTTTAGTTATGCCCCACCCCACCTCTGGTGCCTACTGAATCCTGTTTGGAAACGATAGACAAATGAACTCTTGATTTTTACTGAACGTAAAACTGTTGGCTTTGAGTCATTAGTAAATTGGGTAAAAATATTTGTAGCTTATTTCCTGTCTTCCTAGATAAGTTTGAACAGTAGAATCTGGTCTGGAAGTGTGTAATGTTGGGGAAGAAGGACCTGCTGTGAACTGTTTGTAAACTACCACCTTGGTTTCGGTAGAAGATACGGTAGGCGCCTTATGTTGAGACACTGGGATAGCCACTGGGGATAGTGCAGTTGAAAGGTGCTGACAGGAAAGGTCAGTGCCTCTGTAGAGACTTTAAGAGGGAGATTGCATTCAGCAGAATCCCTGTACCTGGAACCTGCCCGAGGTCATTTAGGCCGTACCTGTTTCCTTTCTTGAGCAGAACTGTGTAGAAAGGTTTTTCTGTTTGTTGTGAAGAAGCCTTGCAGTGGCACCTTCACCCCATTGCTGTTAGCTACATAGAACTTACCCACTGACTGTCACCAGGTCCAGACTGACCAAGACATGTGACATCTGGGAGAAGGCTTCATCTGTGTGGGTGCCAGCATCTAACACAAGACCTGTAAATCAGTAATCCAAGCTGGTAGAGGAATTCTTTAATTAGGAATATTCATTAAAAGTTCTCATACCCTTGTCTTAATGCTTTCTATCAAGTGATTGCATTTGTTTGATTATATCTTTATAATTTCTTCTGTTTTGGTTGTGAAGTCCCCCCCCCCCTTCTATCCTGTTACCATGGCTCTTACAATGTTTCTGCCCCATCTCTTGTACAATGACCCCTGAGCTATAAATGTAGGAATTAGATGTATCAGTTGGGACTGGGGTGTAAGTACCATTTTTGGGCACTGATAATGATCAGTTGGACTTTATGAATGAACAAGGTTCATAAAAACCAATACATTTAAGTATTTGGTAGGTAGACAACTCTCAGAACCAGAGGTTTGTGAGAACTCTGAGCAGATTGTTGCCAGCATTTATGAACCAAGACATCAAGGTAGATGAAATAGCTTAATTGGCTCTAGTCCAGGTAGTCCTTCTTTTGGCTATAACTGTACTAGTTACTTGAGCCTAATTTGTTAACTGTATTTGGATCTTCTGTAACAGTCAGACTCAGTTATTGTGGTTAAACTTCATTGGTTTGGTCTTTTGTGTCCAGGGCAGATGCTCATTCCAAGGCCATGGCTTCCTACAAAGTTTGATTGTCATTCGAGTAAACGTGAATTATATAAAGGTGCCGACAGTCACCCAGTCCTGATCCTTAATTCCTGCTCTGTTTCTTGTTGGTTTTAGAAGTTTGAGTCTTATGGTTTCTTTTTTGATCTAAAAACCATTAACAATATTAACAATATCACACATGACAGGGTAATTAATGGGATGATTACGATCAAAATAATCATACACATGTGTGGAAATGTTGTAATGAAACCCATTATTATGTATAATTGATACATAATAATAAACTTTTAAAAATAAAGAACAAAAGGAATAAACCACAAAAAAAACCAATATCTCTAATAAATGTATAGGTAATGATGTCATGGTTATAAGTAGGTTGTGAGATGGTGGTGGTGGAGAGGTGGCCGACTTGTCTTTATTATAGATTTAGGAAGAGGTGAGATTGGAGCAGGCAGCTCAAGACAAGTGTCTCGTATACTTATAATTTTGTCCTGGGCTGCCTTCTCTACAACTCTGAAACCCGGACAATGAAACACTCCTCAGAATGGTGGCTGAGAATGTGTTTGAGATGGCATGTCTCAGAAGAATTCTAAGCATTACACAAAGAGATAGGCTACACAGTGATGACGTTAAGAAACATCTCCAGCTACAGAAGGAAGTAAACTACAGGATAAGGCAACAGCACTTGAGATACTTTGGCCGTGTTGTGAAAATGATGGTTGATTCCTGAAGATAGCACTGCTTGGAGGAGTGCACGGGATAAGGTGAAGAGGAAGGCTCCCAAAACGCTGGATAGGCAGCATTAAGAAAAACTGTGGAACCGTGGGTATGACAATAACACAAGCTTCTAGGACTGCCCAGGATAGGAACAACTGGAGAACCGCCCCCCCCCCTAAACAGGCTGCCCATGCATGCTTAAGCATTGTGACTGCATAAATGATGACGGTGCTGATGAAATCAGAACAGGCTTAGTGACCTTAGGGCATGCTTAATTTACAGTCTAGGTGTGTTTGGAAGACAGTGTAGGAAGATGCTCCACTCCTTATTCTGTGGAGCCTTTGGCTGCTACCGTCTATGGCAGAAGAGAACTTTCGTGTTTGCTGGCTACAAGTGGTAGATTATTTTGGGTTGTTAGAGTGAGAGTAGAAGCTTTGCCTGGGGAGGAGGAGGAGGTGACGTGACGATGGAGAGGTTAGTGATCCAGCCCTCAGACACTGGGAGTCAGGCAGTGCTCTCCAGCAAGCATGGCCAGCCACGTCCACATGTTCCTGCCACGTCCAAAGCAGCGAAGCCCCACCAGCACACTGATAGTGGTTCAGA